ACTCCGCCTCCACATCTCTCTCTCTCCCTCTCTCTCTCTCTCTCTCTCTCTCTCTCTCTCTCTCTCTCTCTCTCTCTCTCTCTCTCTCTTTCTATCTCTATATCTCTATATCTCTGTATCTTTATCTCTATCTCTATCTATCTATCTATATCTCTCTCTCTCTCTCTCTCTCTCTCTCTCTCTCTCTCTCTCTCTATCTATCTATCTATCTATCTATCTATCTATATATATATAAACTCTGTCTGTCTACACACACACACACACACACACACACACACACACACACACACACACACTGTTATCTACCTTTGCACACAGAGATGGGCCATACATACACAGACAAATATATGTGCACCCCAGAAGACCCGAAATGATAAGATCCTCTGAATAAATACTTTGGAAAGAGCCAGGAAAAGATGAGAGTACATTTTTATTAGATGAGCTCCCTGAATCTTATTAATGATAATAATCTTTCCAAACAAATTTCTGATCTTATGCAGCTGTGGCCGCAAAAGTACATTCATTTAAAAGCGTTACACCCCAGTTGTGATTAATCAGAAAATAGTATTTTTCTAATCCTAGAACTATTTCAGATTCTGAGTGCATTATTTAACCTGTAAGAAAAAAAAAATATCCAGGAAGACGGTCAACTATTCCAGTGTTAATGTACTACATATACCTCCAGATTTGGAATCCAGATTTGGTTAATATCTGTTGCATTAAACATCTTCAAGATCTTACCTTCCTCCTGAAACAACAGTGAACTTTTAAAACTAGGTTAGAAGAACTGCTTTAAATGAACTTGTTGATATCCTGAAGGTATCTAAATATTTCTGCTCATCTCCTTCTAATCATTTGGATGCTTTGGGACACATCCAATTAAGTAGCACGACACCACATTTCAGCTCCCAGCAAATTAAGCGTCTGAATTATTATCTCATTAAATAGCCAGGCTTGTAAATGAAATACCAATAGTTAACTTAATTACAACAGCACTGGTCTTATAAGTGACCTCATTCTCATGTTTAAGCATGGGCGTAATGTGAACATTTGCAGACTACACGATTCAATAGGGATTTCATGTGGAACTCGTTCTGAGAGATCGTTTCCGGTTTGTTTGACAATGTCCAGTGGGCCCAATTTTTGAATCATTGATGGAATCATTCTTTTGTTGTTATTTCTTCTGGACGAAGTTCTGCATTCATCATTGAATTTTGTGGAAAAACTGCATGTGTGTGCGTCATCATAGAGATTTTCAGATGAACAGCAAAGTGATATGTTGAGATTTTAGGATCAATAATGGAGGCGTGGTGACTCAGCAGTTAAGATGCTGGGTTTGTCACCTGGAAAGCCAGCAGCCCAGGTTCGAGACCTGAGTGCCACGCTGGCCTGTGGTGCCTCTGGCAGCGAAAATGGAGCTTGGGTGGGCCACGGGAGGAGAGTTGCGGGAAGCCGTCGCAGCCGAAAACGGAGCTCAGGAGCCTGTTTTCACTGGCAGAATGCATGGGCTATCACAGGCGCCCCTGACACAAGTGACGTCAAGCTGGCCACACCCACCCTGACCACAGCCGCACACCAGCCCAGCCCCCCCCCGCCCTGGGGTTAAGCACAACCCTGAGTGAAATTTCACTGAAATTTGATTTCCGTGAAATCAAATTTGACAGCCCTTTTTCCCTAAGCCCTCTTTGTCAAATTCTCTTGAATAAACCCCAAAGGCCATTTTCCACCTTGCTTTGCAAGAGAATTTGAATTTGGATTGTTTGTTCTTCAAGCACATTGTTATTGTGTGTTCCCATCTGTTTAATGAAAGGTTTGAAATCCATGTTTGCAAATGCCTATCATTTCTATATGATAGGCATTTGCAATGCAGTTAAATAGAAATGCCTATTTCTACATCTGCCCATTTCAATCCAATGGACTCTTTCAATTGACCGTTTTGCTTTCAAACATACTTTTTAAAAATAAGACAAATAACAAATAAGGTGCAAATACCTTAAGTCATGGATCATTACATGGATTTCCTGCTGGTATCCCCAGTGTTGGCTGGGGAATTCTGGGAGCTGAAGTCTTAAAAGTTGCCAAGGCTGACAACATTGCACTAACCAGAACCAAGCCTCCTTAGCTTTTTTCAAGGTAAGCTAAGGTAGCCAAGTTCTGCCAAATAAGGTGGACTACGTAGCCCTTAGAAATGTTTAAAGCACCTTCTACAAGATATCATGTTGTCCTTTGTAAATTAAGGCATTGTTTCCTAATGTGAAGTTCAAAGGACTAGAAGGACTCCATGAATAATCTAATGTACTTTCTTTATTATTGAACACCTAATTTACAAGAATCTCACCTGACTGACTGCATTCTCTTGGGAACTGGTAGTTCAGTACACCTTCAGTAGTCTACAGGTGGTCCTCGCTTTATGACCCCAATTGAGCCCAAAATTCTTGTTGCTAAGCAAGACAGTTGTTAAGTGAGTTTTGCCCCATCGTGCAACCTTTCTTGCCACAGTTGTTAAGGGAATCACTGCAGTTATTAAGTTAGTAACATGGTTGTTAAGTGCATTTGGTTTCCCTGCTATCTTCGCTTGTTATAAGGTCCAAAAGGGGTCACATGGCCACGAGACACTGAAACTGTCCTAAGTATGAGCCAGTTGCCAAGCATCTGAATGCTGCAACGGTTGTAAGTGTGAAAAATGCTTACAGTGCCATTGTAACTTCAAAAAGCCACTAAATGAACAGTTGTAAGTTGAAGACTACCTCTATTGGCTGAGGATGTTGGGAATTATATTTAAGCAAATCTAGAAGGTACCAGGTTGGGGAATTCTACTTCTGGAGCATGTAACTTCTTCTTGATAGTTATCTTTATTTATAACCTCCTAGACATTCATAAGAATTTTGAGTGAAAAATGGTTTCCAAGCAGCTTGGAACATGAATATGTGTGTTTCTCAGCACCAGGCATGGAATTATTATTTCTGGGATCAATTGTGCCATATGTATATGTTGTGTTAGGTTTTAGTGTATATGATTGTATTATTATTGTTTTGGTTCCAGCCCAAGCATATCCAACCCGCAACCCACATGTCCCACATGGACAGCTAGTAAATGTGGCCCCACAAGATTTATAAACCTCTAACATTATTATGTGATTTATATACATTAACTACTATATATCAGATATTTTATATGTGGCCCAAGACATTTCTTTTTGCCATCAGGCATGCCAAAAGGACAGATTACTGTGTTGTATCCTACATACCTCTTTACAATCACTTTACTAAATTAACCTAGACATTCAAAAATAAATCAATTTCCGTTGTTATTTATTTTCTGTGTTATAAGCAATTGTATAATTGTGATTTATCTCCCCCCCCCCCATCTAGGTTTAAGACCGGCCAAATCAATGGGGACTTGCTGATATATCACGTTTTGCTGACGCTGAAGCCTTACTACGCCAAGCCATATGAGATCGTAGTGGACCTCACTCACGCCGGGCCCAGCAACCGTTTCAAGACAGACTTCCTGTCCAAGTGGTTTGTAGTTTTCCCAGGATTCGCTTACGAAAATGTCTCTGCCGTCTTCATCTACAACTGCAACTCGTGGGTGAGGGAGTACACCAAGTACCACGAGCGACTCCTGACGGGCCTGAAAGGCAGCAAGAGGCTCATTTTCATTGACTCGCCTGGGAAATTGGCTGAGCACATAGACCACGACCAACAGAAACTTCCAGCGGCCACTTTGGCTTTGGAAGAAGACTTGAAAGTTTTCCACAATGCCCTCAAACTGGCCCACAAAGACACCAAAGTTTCTATTAAAGTAAGTCCCGTGCTTTCCGTCTCTGGTTTATTGTATGTTCGGCATTTACAGCAGCTTTTCCCCAATCTGGGATTTTGCAGTAAGTGCTTCTCAACCAAGAGGCAACTGGACTTTCTGGTTTTTCTTTGAAGACATTTCGCTTCTCAAACAAAAAACTCCAGTTGCCTCTTGAAAAAAGCACCTTTGGGAGACAAACCATGACCTGGATAACTGAGAATCTTCATAGACATTCTCAATCATGGCCACTTTAAGATGAGTGAACTTAAATCCAGGATTAAAATAAAATAGAATAACAGAGTTGGAAGGGACTTTGGAGGTCATCTAGTCCAACCCCCAGCTCAGGCAGGAAACCCTATACCATTTGAGACAAATGGTTGTCCAATCTCTTCTTAAAAACTTGCTGTGTTGGAGCATTTATAACTTTTGGAGGCAAGTTGTACCACTGATTAATTGTTCTAACTGTCAGAAAAAAAAATCTTAGTTCTAGGTTGCTTTTCTCCTTGATTAGTTTCCACCCATTGCTTCTTGTCCTGCCCTCATGTGCTTTGGAGAATAGCCTGACTCCCTCTTCTTTGTGGCAGCCCCTGAGATATTGGACCACTGCTATCATGTCACCTCTGGTCCTTCTTTTCATCAAACTAGACATATCAAGATCCAGCAACCATTCTTTATATGTTTCAGCCTCCAGTCCCCTAATCATCTTTGCTGCTGTTCTCTGCACTCTTTCTAGAGCCTCAACATCTTTTTTACATTGTGGTGACCAAAACTGGATGCAGTATTCCAAGTGTGGCCTTACCAAGGCCTTATAAAGTGTATTAGGACTTCATGTGATCTTGAGTCTATCCCTCTGTCAATGCAGCCTAGAACTGTGTTGGCTTTTTTGGCAGCTACAGCACACTGCCAGTTCATACTTAATCAAGCATAATATACATGAGAGGGGGTGTGAAGACTCAGTGGTTAAAGACACTGAGCATATCAGCTGGAAAGCCCAGGTCTGAGACCCGAGTGCCACACAATAGGTTGAGCTCCCATCCTTCCCCCAGCCCCAGCTCCTGCCCACCTATCAGTTTGAAAGCATGAAAATGCAAGTGGATAAATAGGTACCACTTTGTTGGGAAGGTAACAGCAAACTGTGTACTTTTGGCATATACCATACTAGCCACATGACCACAGAAAATGTCTCCAGGCAATGCTGGCTCTCTCAGCCAAGAATCAGAGATGATCACTGTGCCCTAAAGTTGGACACAACTGGACAGACTTAATATTATACAAATTCCTTGCACACATTTTGCATGACTTTCATTGCTTGCTCTTTAACTTATTAGCTAGTTGTAGTAAGTCAGATGAAATAGTCATGTATTTTCTACTTGAAAAACCCTGACCCTTAAGAACAGGGGTGCTTGGCCACACCCACCCAGTTGGCCGCGATGACCAGGCCATGCCCACCCCAGCCCCCCAAGGGCAAACGTGGCCCATGATAGGATCACGTTTGACACCCCTACTTAAGAAGAACTGTTTTGGATTCCAGCTGATTATAAATATTGAAATAATGAAAAATGTTATTTCCTATTATATTGCTTGTTATCCTGCCATTTTCAAAACATTTCAAAAGAAAATTAAAATCTATTGCGGGGGGGGATCTCTTTTTTTCTCTGTAAGGGAGTACCCATAACTTAGGGGTGTCCAACCTTGTCAACTTTAAGACTTGTGGACTTCAGTTCCCAGAACGGCTGTTTGGGGAATTCTGGGAGTTGAAGTCCACAAGTCTTAAAGTTGCCACATTGGACACCCCTGCCATAGTTGATGCTACTTAGGGCGCCTTGGATTTTTTCTCCCACTCAAACTCAATGCTTGTTTTCCACAGGTTGGCTCCACAGCTGTCCAAGTGACTTCAGCTGAGCGCACCAGAGTCCTGGGCCAGACCGTGTTCCTGAATGACATTTACTACGCTTCTGAAATAGAAGAAATCTGCCTTGTGGATGAGAACCAGTTCACCTTAACCATTGCCAACCAAGGCACCCCTCTGACTTTCATGCACCAGGAGTGCGAAGCTATTGTACAGTCCATCATTCATATACGGACACGATGGGAATTATCCCAGCCCGACTCTATACCCCAACATACCAAAATCCGTCCCAAGGATGTGCCAGGAACCCTGCTGAACATCGCTCTGCTTAATCTAGGGAGCTCAGACCCAAGTCTACGGTACGTCTCATCTTCATTTGGGGAGGGATTTTGAGGCCTCATTTCATAGGAGTACAGCTGCAGCTAGTCCTCGACTTAACGACCACAATTGAGCCCAAAATTTCCATTGCTAAGCAAGGCAGTTGGTAGGTGAGACGTGCCCCATTTTATGAGCTTTTTGCCATGGTTGTTAAGCGAATCACTACAGCTGTTAAGTGAAACCTACATATAAGGCCAGTCTGGCTTCATGCACTGACTTTGCTTATCAGAAGCTTCCTAGAAGGTTGAAAATAACAATCTCAAAACATGCTGTGACCGTCTTTTAATATACGCCAGTTATGAAGCCCCTAAAGTTTGATCACGTGACTCTGGGGATGCTGCAATGGTCATACGTGTGAGAACTGGTCATAAATCAGTTTCTTCTGTGCCTTTGTAACTTTGAACCATCGTTAAATGGTTGTAAGTCGAGAACTACCTGCATAGAAACAAGAAGTGTGTTGCTCTGCATAGCTGGATTTTTTTCCTCTTCCAGATTCTTTGCTTTCTTTAACTCGATATTGAGGCTGATTATTTTCCCCTTGCCTTTTTCTCCCTATTACAGGTAGTCCTCAACTTATGGCCACAATTGAGCCCAAAATTTATGTTGCTAAGAGAGAAATTTAGTTTTGCCCCATTTTACAATTTTTCGTGCCCCATTTGTTAAAGGAATCTGGCTTCCCCATTGCCTTTGCTTCTCAGAAGGTTGCAAAAGGCGATCATGTGACCCTGGGATACTGCAGCCGTCATAAATGTGAGTCAGTTGTCAAGCATCCGAATGTAAATCACGTGACCATGGGGCTGCTGCAATGGTCATAAGTTCGAAAACCGGTCATAAGTCACACTTTTCAGTGCCATTGTAACCTTCGAACGGCCACTAAGCAAACTGTTGTAGGTCAGGGACTACCTGTGCATAATTTGTTTCCCTTTCACCGAAAACTGTTTCTGTAAAGTGTATTTTGGGAAAGCAGGAGGGGAACATGCATCCCATTCATTGATTTTTATGGCTCAAGTCAGATTGCCCAGTTTGAAAGCATTTTGATGAACTGAAACGCTGGCTCTGATTAATCAGTTAGTATATTTTTAAAAGTCTTTATTCTACTGAATACAAATACTTTTAAAAAAAGCAGGTAGGTTTGCTGGCACCTTTCAAAAGAGACATTTCTCACACAGACACACTCGCTCTTTCGTCTCCCCAGGAGGGAAGGGCTGTTTTAAGGTAATGCCAAGGAAAGTGCTTGTATGTATCATCTAAAACAGAGCATGCAGTTTTTCTTAGAATGATATGACAGGGGGTCCTCGACTCACGTACACAGTTGAGCCCAGAATTTCTGTTGCTATGAGTGAGTTTTGCTCCATGTTATGACTTTTCTTGCCACAGTTGTTAAGTGAATCACGGTGGTTGTTAAAAGTTAGTAACATGGCTGTTAAGTGAATCTGGTGAAGTGAAGGTCACAAAAGGTGATCACATGAGCCTGGGGACCTCTGCAACCGTCATAAATATGAGCACCTGGATTTGGATCACGTGACCAAGGGGAAGCTGCAGCGAAAAATAGTCATGTCGCTTTTGTTCATTGCCATTGAAACTTTGAATGGTCATTAAATGAGCTGTTGTAAGTTGAGGACTACCTGTAATCTCTCACCTGTTAGTTTGATGTAGATTTCATCACCACCTAATGGAGGGAGCTTCCTAGAGCTGACCAAATAAGTTTCTTGAGTCGATTTGGGGGGGTGGGGGTGTCAGAAGCCAAATATGCTGATATCAATATTAAGAAATCGGTTGAGTTGGACATCTATAGAAATTGAATGAATGAATGAATGAATGAATGAATGAATGAATGAATGAATGAATGAATGAATGAATGAATGAATGAATGAATGAAAGAAAGAAAGAAATAGGCCTCTGAACATAGACTTTCTGGACTTCCCCAAGGAAACATTTTTTTAACGCATTCCTTATTTTTTGTTGCAGGTCTGCGGCCTATAATCTTCTCTGTGCCTTAACTTGTACTTTTAATTTAAAGATTGAAGGCCAATTACTGGAAACGTCAGGTCTCTGTATCCCTGCAAACAACACTCTTTTCATTGTCTCCATTAGTAAGACTCTGGCAGCTAACGAACCCCACCTTACCCTAGAGTTTTTGGAAGAATGCATTTCTGGATTTAGCAAGTCTAGTAAGTAATATGACTTCACTTTTCCTGTTTATACAAGGTAAATAACTAGTATGGCTTGACAGCTCCGATGAGAAAGTCAGCAGCGCAGATATTGGGGATAAATGGAAGGGTGGCTGTATTTAATAATAGTAATAATACAGCGAATCCTCACTTAACAGTGGTAATTGGAGCCAGAATGTCAGAGTTTTGGCAGTGTGACTATTATTATGAGATAAACCCAGGAGCAAAACACAGCACACAGAGCCTTCAGACAATTAACAGTGGTTTATATATACATATTTACAGACACATGGTAGATAAATCCCTTACCACTCAGCTACGGACACAAGGAGAGAAATGAGATACATGATGAGAAAGATGGCCACTTATATATAGACACCTCTTAAAATGGTAAATGACTTGTGTGGACCCCACCAGGGTCTCAAACTGGCTATACCTGTGTTGCTGATTCATCCTCATTGCATCAGTTTACATCTTACAATCTTACATCAGCTGGCAGCTACTAGATCCTCAGTACTTGACACAGAATTTCTGTCACTAAGCAATGCAGTGGAAAAGTGTGAGGTCACGTGATCATGTTGCTTAGCAATGGCAATCCCCCATTGTTGTCATTAAGCGAGGATCATGAGTCATGTAGTAAGGACATCCTGGCAACTTCCTGACAGCTTCCAGCAAGCAAAGTCAATGGGGAAGCCAGCAGAAAGTCACAAGTCACAAGCAGGCCAGTAAGTGTGTAAGGAGCTGTTGCAGCACAAGTGTGGCGGGACCAAAGGTAGCTACTGCTAGGTGGGAGGGGGTGCGGCAGTGGCCACCGTGGCAATAATGTAATAAAAACGAAGGCATTACCTGAAAAATGCACAGTTGGAGAGTTGGAGAAGTGTGTATATAAGCAACACACCCTGGGCATATAGTCAATAAAGTTAAGAGTTTTAGTAAATCCAATTAGTAAAAGGCAAATTTACACTGAAATATGAAAATTGTTCTTTTAAAAAACCCTGAAGAGGTAGAGCTAAATATATATTTTAGGAACCCTGAATTAATTCTACAAATATGGCACCACATTAAAAACAACATAAGCCCCATTTCTTTTACAGTATATATGGAAAGCTAATCTTAGCTTTAGATAGAATTATTATAGAATTATTGAAATGCTTAGTGCAGTGTTTCTCAGCCTTGGCCACCAGGATGTGTGGACTTCAACTCCCAGAATTCCCTAGTCAGGATCGCAAAAGGTATGCTAACTCAGATGAAGCAGAAATAACTTTTTTCTGCAACTTACAGCTTCTTAACGATCTGTTCTTTTAAAAAAAGTCTGGAAGTTGAGTCATGGCAACTTCCTGCCTTTTTCGTTTGAAACATTTCGCTGTTTATCCTAGCAGTCTGTAGAGTTTGTCAGTCATCCAGGTTTTCCCAAAGGTGTTTTTTTTAGGAGGCAACTAGACTTTCTTGGTTTTTATTCCTTTTGAAGACATTTTGCTTCTCATCCAAGAATCTTCTTCAGCTCTGGCAGGATATTGAAACATCCTTCCATCCCCCACTATCCTGCCAGAGCTGAAGAAGCTTCTTGGATGAAAAGCGAAATGACTTCAAAAGAAAAACCAAGAAAGTCCAGTTGACTCCTGAAAAAGCACCTTTGGGCTTATCCTAGTAGTTTCTTCAATCTGAGCAAATTGATTAAGGGGACCCCATATGTGTCTCCAGAGTGGTTTCATTTCTCACCTAATCTGAATAGGCTCGTTAGGTCCATAGATCGTTAAAAAATGCTGCTCCTAAATCCTTTACTTAGGTGGTCCTTAAGAGTGGCCTCCCAGTTGAACCCATGGTCTGGATCTTCCTGGGGTTTCATTTCTGCAAGTCACCTGTGGCAGCGATATAAATTTTCTCAATAAATAAATAAAATACAAGTTGAAATAAAAGAAGTGACCAGAGGATATTCAGAAGTACCATTTTGGTGGGGGCTGAACTCAGGGATGGGCTTCAAAATTTTTAGCAAGGGGTTCTCGGCCCAGTTGCTGGGTGGGTGTGGCCATGGTGGGTGGGCCTACTCGGCCTCCTGCACCACGTTGGGGGGGTATTTTTGCCCTCCCCAGGCTCCAGAGCCTTTCCTTGAGCCTCCAGGTGGGCGAAAATGGCCTCCCAGGCTCCGAAGGCCCTCTAGAGGCTGGAAATGGAAACTTCCAGTAGGCCTGTTTTTCACCCTCCCCGAGCCTCCGTGCGCATCCTACACTTACCTGCATCCAAAATGGGCCGTGTGGGGACTCCTGGGAGGAGCGGGAAGAGGTGGGTGGGGCCAGCCACTTGTGGGATTTGTGGGTTCTATAAACTGCACAGAATCTTAGCTAGAAGTTCTCTCGAACCCTGTGAACCAGTGGTGGGTTCCAGCCAGTACACCCCGTTACGGGCGTACTGGTGGCAGCTGGAAGCAGCGGCCACCATACCGGAATGATGCTTTCGAGGGGGTCACCAGCCCGCCCTTGTTCCTTATCTGTATTTAAGCCAACCGGGTCATTTGCATATGGCGCCTGCACGACCGCCGAGCAGCTAAAGTGTCGCAGAGCGGTGGGTGTGCATCCATGCACAGCGCGCGTGCCCGTGGTGGATGCCCAGCCCCATCGCAGCATACTAGTTGCAACGGGATCCGGAACCCACCACTGCTGTAACCCTCAGCAGCCCACCCCACCCCCACCCTGGTTGAACTTGGGATACAGGTTTTGAATCATATTTAGGCTTGGCCAACACCCAAGGAAATACATTGCTGAATATTGGCATTCCTCATTCCAGAATATGAAATTTGAGAAGTCATGAGGCATACTGCTTTCATTGAGAAGATAATGAATTAATCACCTGCTCATTTTCTTCTTCTGGTCTAATTTGTAGTAGAAGCCTCTCTCTCTCTTTCTCTCCCCCACCCCACCCCAGCATGCATGAGTCTGTAAGCTCAAAATAAATTGCAACCCACCCACCTGACATCCATTTCTGCTGGGAAGCGTGGGTGGGAAAGGAAACGAACTCCCTCCCCCCCCCCCCAGCATGCTTACAATTGAGACTCGCAGAGAAGATGGAGCTTTAGAGTCTCATGGGGGTGATAATTTTTTTTTAAAAAAACTGTCTGGCCGGTTTCCTGGTATTATTGGAGAAATTATTTGATATGGTCCAAGGTAAGGGGAACAACCGAGATTCCTTTGCCCCGGGCACATCTCCCCACTCAAAACAACTCTCTGTTGGGAAACAACCATGAAAACATCTCTCTTCTTGAACTTGCTAAAGGAATTCAACACAGATTTACAAAGCCAAGAGTGTGCTGTGAGCTCTGCTAATATTTGGAGAGCCTTATCCATGAAGCCTGGTATATGCATCGTGTTGGAAGGTGCCCTGCCATTGAACTGCAGCTCAAGGCCCATTTGGGTTAATTGCAGAACACCTAGAGCCGTGATGGCAAACCTATGGCATACGTGCCACAGGTGGTATGCAGAGTCCTCTCTGTGGGCACACCAACTGTTGCCCAGCCCAGCTCCACCGCACATGCGTGAATGCATCCCACCAGCCAGGTGGTGTTTGGCTCTGTTGCGCATGCACGGGGGGGCAGGGCGCATGTGCAGGCATGGGGGTGAGGCACATTTGTGGGGGCTCTCACATTGCATTTTGGGGGTTCACATGTATGTGTCCACCACCCCCACCCAATTTTGGGCCTACAAGGCCTCCTGCACAAACCTGGAAGTCAAAACGGGATGCCCTTACATTGCATTTTGGGCCTGGAAGGCTGCCTGCACCAATCTGGAAGTCAAAATAGGTAAAGGGGGCGTGGGGCGCATGCTTGGGGGATGTGTGCGCATGTGCGGGGGGCGCTCAAATTGCATTTTGGGATTGCATATGTGTGCCCATTCGCAGGCACATGTGCTTTGGGCACTCGGCACCAAAAGGTTTAGCCATCACTGACTTAGAGAATGTTGTTAGTTTCTTTTGTCAGTCAGCATCGTATCTCACACTACATTTGGTGCCAAAGGCAACTTGCCTTTCAAGAATGGGGGCCTGGACATCACCAGTCCAGGACCTCTTGGCGGAGAAAAATCCTTATTGGCTGTCTTTCTAGTACATTTTGCTTCTCCCCCCTCCATTAACTTCCAAGCTTTGTTCCAAAAGATAATTGGACAAAGGTTTTGTGCAAGACCCTTTTCTAATATGTCTCTCTTTGGTTATTTGAATTTCAGGTATTGAATTAAAACACCTCTGCCTGGAATATATGACCCCCTGGTTGTTGAATCTGGTCCGTTTCTGCAAACATAACGATGATGCTCGGCGCCAGCGAGTCACAGCAATTCTCGATAAGCTTATCACAATGACAATAAATGAGAAACAGATGTATCCTTCCATTCAAGCCAAGATATGGGGTAGTTTGGGACAGGTACTGCTTTGGATTGATTTTCCCTACCCCCACTCCCCTCTGAGTTTTTGGTTGAAGAATAAACAATATATCCAGTACTTGATAATGCAAGATTATATTTATGTATTCTTCCCAAAAGCCATTTCTGCCATGTCCTGGTGAAGTTATTGAAAGGACACGTACTAAAATCAAGTGTTCTCTGTTCAGAGTCATGGGTTGTTATTTTTTACAATTTCTTCCCCGTGGTTGTAAGGTTTCTGCAGTGTCACCTAGTTTTTTTCAACAAAACTATCATTACCCGATAAGATAAGCGCTCATATTTATGAACTGGCTGGTTGCAGAGCCTGACACTGACTTGGGCCAAAAGGAACGGATTGGACCAAGGTCACCCAGCCAGCTTCTGTGCATAAGAAAGCACTAGAACCTACATCATCCAGCACAGGAAATCAGGAGCCAGGCAGTTCAAATGAACGTAGGGTATTAATGCTCTCTACAAGAATCTGAACTACTGACAGTAAAAGCAGATTGGTGGTGGATAGGAATTCAAGGTGGGCTGGACTCAGACCTCTTGTGGGTGGGAAGGGATTCAAGATTGATAATGCAATAGCAATAGCAATAGCAGTAGACTTATATACCGCTTCATAGGCCTTTCAGGCCTCTCTAAGCGGTTTACAGAGAGTCAGCATATTGCCCCCAACAATCTGGGTCCTCATTTTACCCACCTCGGAAGGATGGAAGGCTGAG